CTCTGGGTACCAGACATGCACATGCAACTTCTCAAATTCCTCAAGGCCAAGAACAAGCAGTCCTCCTCCTCCCAGCCCTGCTCCTCCTCCTGTTCTAAATCTCTGTCAGTGGCCCACATCCTCACACCCTCAAAATCATCTGAGATGTCTCCCTTGCTGCCCATACCAAGGGCCAGAAGCCTGGACTTCTGAGTCTTTCCTCTCCGTTCCTCCTGTATCACTCCCTGCAGGATGCAGGCCGGGCCCTTTCCACCACTCGCCCCTGCAGGAGTCTCTCCCCTTCCAGTCTGCCCACCTCTTCTATACTGCCAGCTGCCACAAAGCACACAGACCTGGCCCTGCCTCCCCTCTGCTCAGTGACCTTGGATGAAGCCTGCCTCTCCATCCCTGGCAGCACCAAGCACAGCTTGACCCCCAATCACCTCTCAGTCTCCTTATTTGAGGTCCCAGGAACGGTCTCATCTCCCAGCCTCTGCTCCTGCTTTCTCATCTATCTAAATGTTCTTCCACAGTAGCGATCCTATCTGACCCTCAAGGAAGGCCCAGCCAAGACGTCACCTCCTCCATGAAGCCTTGTGCCCCTCCCTCCTCAGAATGAACACCTTTCTTCCCTGTATTCCTACAGATTTATATTCCTAATGATGATGATGATAGCAACTGCTACCATTTACCATGTGCCAGATACTGCCCTAAGGCTTTACACATAATGCCTCACTTTACCCTCACAACAACGCTAGAAGTATGTACTATGAGCATTCATGAGTCCCATTTTGCAGGTAAGGAAACTGACACAGAGAGAAACTGAGTAACTTGCCCAGGATCGTGCAACTACACAGCCTCCTAATGCCTAAGGCGGCATTGACCACGCTGTATTAGAATTCATTAAGTTTATCTCTGTCCCACTGAGGGCTGAGGTCATGTATCTTTCATCNACACATAATGCCTCACTTTACCCTCACAACAACGCTAGAAGTATGTACTATGAGCATTCATGAGTCCCATTTTGCAGGTAAGGAAACTGACACAGAGAGAAACTGAGTAACTTGCCCAGGATCGTGCAACTACACAGCCTCCTAATGCCTAAGGCGGCATTGACCACGCTGTATTAGAATTCATTAAGTTTATCTCTGTCCCACTGAGGGCTGAGGTCATGTATCTTTCATCTTCAGGTCCCCTAAAAGCACCATGTGGCACACCTGGCCTAGTGCTTGTTGCAAGAAAGGGAGAGAGCAGGGGAGAAAGCAAAGGGTTGTTCTCCCAGCCTGTGAGGTAGTGCAGACCTTGTCGTGACCTGGGTTCTGGGGTAAGGAGAGGGGAAGGAGCTGTCCCCATGGGCCCTGCCCTGGGGAGCCCTGGTTAGAGGGGTAGAGCTTACTTGCCCTGGCTGGGCTGGGATCAAAGAGTGCTTGTGAAGACATAAGTGTGCGTGTTGGGCTGCAGGGGCCCAGCCACCCCACAGAGCCCGGTGGTCACTCCAGCCTCTCCCCCAGGACATTGCCCAAGCCTCCAAAGACGGGGCCAACCTCCTCAGCAACACCACCAGCATGGGGCGCTGGGAGCTCGTGGGCTCCTTCTTCTTTTCCGTGTCCACCATCACCACCATCGGTAAGGGCCAGTTGGGGCCAGGGTGGAGGGGGCCAGGGAAGGTGGCCTTTCCCTGAGGGGCACTGGGGCCAGTTGCCTTTTGGAGGGTCACCTAGGGCCTTACTCCTCAAAGTGTAGTCCAGCTCTGCAGCATGGATATGACCTGAGGGCAGAATCCTGGGCCTCTCCCAGTGCTCCAGGGGATTTCTGCCTCACCCAGCCTTTCAGGAGGAAGAGGGTGTCCCAGTGGAACAGGAAAAATGCCTCTGGACACTGTAAGTGTTCAGGTCTCCTCAGCTGAGCCCACTCAACACTGAGGCCTGGGGCAGGTGGTTGGAGGAAGTGAGGGGAAAGTTGGGAAGGAAGAAGAGGCAGAAATCCAGAGAAAGAGCCTTAGACCCCCTGCTCTCAGCCCTGGGAGAGGTGGCCATTCCACCCATCTCCCTGCCTGCAGACAACAGCCCCCCATCCCCAGAGGCCTCTCCTCAGCTCACAACATTCCCCGTCGCCATCGTCCCCAGGCCCCTTTCCTCCTCACACGTGGTGACACCTGGACTGGCCCTGCCCTGCAGGAGATCCAAGGCGGAACTTGTCCCAAGAGTATGCTCAGGGGCTGTTGTGAGAAGAGCAGGCTAGACCCCTGCAGCTCTGAAGGCCAGGAAATAAAGCAAGTCGGGCCAGCCAGTCCCCTCTGCCCTCAGCATTCGCCCCAGCCCCTACATGACACTGGATTCACCACCAGGTGGCAGGCTGACATCACCGGTAACTCGGCCAGCCAGGACCCTGTCTCCATGAGGCCAGTGTCCCAGCCTTGGTCCTCCACAGAGTGGGGTGAGGCAAGAGCACCCACAGGACTCTCCATCTGGTTTCAAATCCGCCAGTGCTTCCTGGAAGCGGATCTCAGGGCTACTTGGGAGCTTG